TCGCACTTTAGATCAACGCGATAAAATTTCCGACAATTTGTTTTTCTTCCGTCGAATGCGTATAGCGGACGGACGCTATTGGCGCATCATGCGGCGCGGCGGAAATTGCGTTATTTTCAACTTACCGCTTGGAGAAAAACGAGCACACTCGTGACAAAATTTATGCCGCAGGAGTTACATCGCGATATCTTATAATTGCGATAAAAATAACTTATCAATGCATCTATCAGAAAACTGTCGATAAGTACAATAATAAGATTTGATCTCGAATTATTATCGGTGCGTCGTTCTGGGTGGCTGTCCGCTTTTGGCTTAATCAACTAATTTATTCTACCTGTATGTTATGCAACTTTTTTTATACCTTTCGTTCCTATAAGATTATACAATATTAGAATAGTAGTGCAAAGGAAAAAAGTATCTAAATATGTTTATTCGATTACGCAATCTAATAGTCCTCAATTTTATGTAAAAAAATTTTATGTAAAATTCGACTTAATAATTGTAGAAATACGAGTGATTAATATCAACAAATTATTTTATATAAAATTCTCTAAGTATCTTGAAAAAAATCACGTAAATTTTTGTGATGTTGAAAACGCTTCAAACGTTGGACAAGCCAAAGATTGTCGGTCCAGCAATGACCGTTTAATGACCGACTGATTTTGTATGCCTTACGGGACGTGACCGAAATTGACGAAGTGCCGCCGTTCCGCCCATCAGCCTGTGGTTCCTAACAATTTCGGTAATACAATTTGATCCCGAGTCACGCGTATGAATTTGATTTATGTCATGTGCGTAAAGCGTGATAGTGCGATAACATTGCACTTTCGCTGCATGCCGTCCATTCCCGCGCGTTCAAATTCACGGTATCGAATATTTGTTAGTGGTATACATGCAAGAAGTACGGGCAAGCGCCCGCGCCGGCTTGTGTGTGCAAATAGCGAAAATCCGCCGCCGCGATGTGATTGTACGGGAGAAAATATTTATTGCCGAGATGTTTTGCGACAAACTGAATATATGTGTTGCACGCGACATCACGACGATGAGAAAACGCATTATCGGCATTACTGTATCAGGTGTCACGTCGAACGAGCTGTCGATACCAGCGGCGAGATCGGCGTCACGCGTAATTGACCATTAGATCTTCCCCTCCCGAACTTTCTCCCAAACGTCTATTTTGGAAATATATACGTGTAATATGTTACAGAAGACCCTGCACATTATATTTTGTAGAAGAATCTCGTCGGAACGTCTCTTGCTCCGAAATAAAAAGCCATTAAACCTCATCCAAATATTATCTTTACTTAATAACTCAAAAATAAAACGGAATTATAAAATTTCGTCATGCACAAAAGAGCTCGATAATAAGAGCAATTCGTTGAATGAATCTCGAGCTTAAGTCAAACAAATAATTAAAATCTTAAAGTTAAAAATAATATTTATTTACCTACATTTTGAAACTTAGTTAGATTTGCAAAATTTCATATTTTAATATATTCTTGTGAGCCTTTTGGAAAATATGAGAGGTACGCGCCGCGGTATTCATTGTGTCGAATCGCCGTGCTACATACGAAGCGTCGCTACGAGTATTTCCATAATAACATGTATGCGCGAATAGTGAAAACCGCTTCACGCGACGTGCCGCGTCGTTGCCCCAATTCCAATTTTTCTTTGATGGTTTTGATGTATTCTACGAAGTAGAGTTATCTCTGCTATATATAGATATTCGTAGTGTTTTCTTTCCAAATTCTCTACAAGAGGATATAACACTCTATCGAATCTTGGCAAAAGGAGAACAATTCTTCGCTATAAACTCTCACGTCAAACTCCCTCGAGTTGATAAAACTCTGTATAATTGAAAAAAAGGCGGAGTAACTTCGACGAAAATTCGCGAATTTAATTCGGATTATAGCTTCGTGGAGAAACGGAGAAAAAAGGAGGAACCCACTTGTACAATGGGGACAATTTGTTGCAGGGAGGGCGAGGGCGGCGGTGGCGGCGGCGGCGGCGGTGGCGGCCGTTCTGTGACCGGGTCCGGTGGCGGCGGTGGTGGAGGCGGTCGTCGGGCACCGAGCTTACGGCTGGTGAACGGAAGGGCGACCACGGGGGTGAGTTTGCACACCAGCAGCACCGAATCCGTGCGCTCTCCCCATCATCAGCTCGGCCAGCAGGTCGGCAACAACAACTGCCACGCCGGTAACAACCCCGCCGCGAACAATCATCCACGGCTCAACAAAGATGACAGCATCAAGATCAGCATCGAGAACACCAACACGTGCACGGACAGTCTCGTCACTGCTCTAGACGACGAGACCCTGCTCATCACCGATTTCCTGGGCGACACAGGTAAGCACCGCCGGGCATCGATAATGAGAAAGAGAGATCTGATCTTAAAAGAGTCGTAAATACGACGGTTTGTCCCTCGTGCACAATTCGGGAACGGAATGTTTTGTAAATGTGCACTGAGGATATGTATCTAAATTATCACCGCACATTGTTTACAGCAATTCACACACGTTGCTCGCCATTAAAACGAACTGCTACTGATTAAACAGTTTATTTTCATAAAATGTAAATACGATAATGTCGACAATTGTTTCAAAGTTAGGTGATTCGATTAATTACGACGATATACAAATTGTAACTTTCATGCAGCGCGACAGAATGCATATTATATACATATGTATATAACACTGTATTTCACGAAATCCTAAGAGAATCCACATTAAATTATTATTTTTTATTGTTTGTATTGCCTCTATAATTTTTGCAAAAGTCTCGGTGAAAGTGTCATCACTCATACCGTTGTGCAAACATCAACGTCTCACAAGTAGTCGTTCAAATAACGCTCAAATAAACGAACGGTTCGCTTGAGGTATGTAAAAGTTATTTTACAGAGATCTGCGTAAAATGCAAAACGTAAGCACGTCTACGACCGTTATAAAAATTCCAATTAAGCTTACGAACCTCACAAACTTGTCGGAGGAATATAAAGAATGCGAGTAAAAACGACGACTTTAATGAGATCCGCCGTAATAAAGCGATACAATCCCAACAACGGGAATGAGTTGTACGATTGCATTGCGCGCTGCGTTGCCGTTAGCTTTATTATAATATCGAGCGTTATCCGTAATGTCCACGCGTTACGCGAATCACACACACGGAAGTGAACTGGACACGAGATTACAGGCTGAATTTTCCATTATTCGTGAGACCGTCAATACATTAATTTTTTAACCACGTCGCGCCAATCGATCGACTAAATCGAATCAGAACACGCTCATAAACGTCGAATTAAACGCCGCTTCGCGCAGATGTAACGCGAGTGCGATTGTCGCGTAGTGGCGCTTGCGGTGAGGTGTCATAAATCACTGATCGGATCTCTGACACGCGCTGTACACGTGTGTAACGAGCGTATTGTCCATCGCGTATTGTCCAACGCGCAGATGTAATGCGTTTGTTGATGAAATGTGACTGATGTAACTGATAACGATGAAAAAAGGAGTGCATTGTTCATTTTTTTTTTTATAGAAAAATAATTGAAATGCCAAACGAGATTACCACGATACAAGTAACATCGAAGCGAAAATTGATAGTGAAATGCAAAATACATTAAATGTCGTGAGATCCCGAAAGAAAGAGGTAAAGGGAGAATATAAATATTGGAGGATATGCTCTTCGTGTATAATGCAACGTAATATGTTTCATGAGAAACGATTACCTGCATGCTTAAAGCTGTTTCGGGATAAGACTATTTAAAATAAGAATGATTTAACATGCCCGTGCAAAGTAATAATATTATATGGCGATTATACCAAGTATATAGAGTTTTTCTTTAGCGACGTACTTACGCGAATTTATAAATGCAAATTCAACGCTGTGTCCTTTGCGTTAAAATTAATATAATCCATTACAGACATCTCGTTTTTCTGGTTTTAAATTAATATTGAATGCAATATTCGTCACATACAAATGCAAATCTTTCGCGGAAATTGGAAATACATGACGATAAACAGCGTGTGCGTGTGGATACTGGAATATAATAAACATCTGACATTTCATGCAAATATAGGCGATTCCGTGAATCGCATCCATTAAAATAACATAAACATCAATTTGCAGACCTTCTGACGATAACATTTTCTTAACGTAAATAACTCTATCGAAAAATAACATGGTATGATTTTAGCTTACAATTTTTAACTACCTACACAATATAACACAAAATCAAATTATTCCGGATTCGAAATCCGGAAATCGAATCTTTACAGAGTACTTTACAAAATCTGCAAATAAAATTGTAATTGATCTGTAAAGATTTGAATCTGAAATGATTTGATTTTGTATTGTGTAGGTAGTTAAAAATTTTGAATATTTTCTATAAAAATTACAAGGATATGAGTTATATATAAAATTTTGTCTTTCTGTCTTTCTTTCTCGAAATAATAATAAATAAAATTAATCTCTTAAATGTCACACAGAGAATTCCAAAATTTCCTTTACAAAATTTTGAAAATGTAAATATGCTGATTTAAATTTCATCTCTATTAAAGTAATATCTCCCCTCCCGATAAATACATTTCTCAAATAACAATTATATGAAACAGTACAATAGTTTTCATTCTCTTTACTCTCTTTTTTTATTGCTCACGATTAAAACACAGCAAAGGCTATTCCGTCCGTCCGTCCGTCTCGAATATCATACGGTATACAACGTGACGGGCGCAATAAATTGCGATATTGAATTTCTTACGCCACTGCGATACGTATCGGCAGGAATCATGGTAGAGAGTCCGGGGATTAATGTATACCAACATATGGGAAAAAAAGAACCGGGTTTATGTACTCGTTCGTCCGGCTAAAACCGGTCATACGCGCGTGGATATCTCTTCTCGCGCTTCTTCGCGTCCTTGTTCCGTTACTTAAGCGTGTCTCGAGCGGTAGCTGCCTTTCGACCGGGTCAACGCGATACTCAGTTTCATCTCGTTCCCCCGTCTGCCATGGCGTTGCACGCCGACGACGGAGAAGGCTCCGTTTTCTTGGAGAAGCCGCTCCTGCAGCAACGCGCCATGCCGTCGCGAAACGGTTCGAAATCGAACAATATCGACTCCTGGCCAGGATCGTACGAGCAGTTTATCTCAACTTGGGCATTATGGGGCGTTCGTAAACCGCGTAAATCCGGTGAGTGTTGATAAACCGTTAACGTTTACGCGATTGTCGATAAAAGTCATCAGCTTCGCCGGCAGATATTTATTTTTGAGAAGGAAAGATATAAACGACGATTGTGTATTCCTTTATCGGCTCTCTTTCATTTCTACTGCTTTCTAAACCAAGACTTTTGCAAGAAAATATAAAACTGATTTAAGTAATAAAAAAAATAATAAAGACATAAATAATACTGTGAGTTAGGATTAATGCAATATCTATATAAACGTAATAAATACGTGTATCAGTATAACATAATTATTTACATGCAGAAATATTTCATTAGTTATTTACATAAATAATTTACAATTAGAAAATTAAATTGAGATATTCATGCTGCAGGAATTAATTAAAATTAATATAGATTATAGCATATAAAACTGAGGAAATTATGCATGCTTTATTGATGTATGCATAGAAGTGATTCTTGAATAGTTCTCGACAAAAACTTCTTTGTTTCAAGAAAAAGAGATACAATTATGTCGTTACGAAGCAAAAAAATGTGGGCAACGAAACAAAGATACAGAATGATATCGTAGAATTTTCCGACTGTGTATCTGTGCATATAAAGACATGTGCAGGACTTTAAATAGGTTGTTCAAATAACATTTAAACTTATCAGATAATTAACGTTTTCGAGAAAACAGACAAAATAAATTTGACGCACCCTGTAATCATATAAGTTCTAAAAGGTTCCGCGAAATTAATACGCAGCAGATTTCACGTGAGTTATTTCACGAGCCATAAAGATACTTCGGGTTAACGACATTAAGTCATACGTGCCGGCGCCATCGTGGTGACGTGAGTTTACAAGTTCGGTTATGCTTGCGGACAGTCCGCGATTTATGCTTTGTGCAGCCGCGCTATCGTACGACTCGGCTCTGGTTTATCGGACGGGCGCTATCGGGTGACGATAAAAAGTCGCGGAATAACGAACGAATTGTCGTCGCGGCACTGACTTGAACACGATCGTGTTGCAGGCAACGAGATGAATTACAAAGGCAGCGGGAAGGTCCACTTCGGGGTGGACGACGTGTCCCTCTATGGGACGCCGAAGGAGGAACCGGGCCCGGGCCTCCCGGGCCAGGAGGTCAAGCAGAGCTTCCTGAAGAATCAGCTTCAGGCCCTGTTCCAGCCGACGGACAACAAGTTGGCCATGAAGCTCTTCGGCAGCAAGAAGGCGCTTATGAAGGAACGGATCAGACAAAAAGCCGCAGGTCACTGGGTCATCCATCCTTGCTCCAGTTTTCGGTATGTCCTTCCGACTGATCAGCTGATCTCATTCAACAGGCCGCATCAATATTTCGCGCTATCGCATTTCGCTTCCGGCCGGAAAACGCCGGAGACCCGCCAAGAGAATACGCCCCTCAGACGTAGTCTCATATCTAAGTCTGCTCGAATAAACTCACGTGCGATACATTGGTCCCACGTTCTCCATAAAAGAGAACAAAATTCCGCATGCACTTGTCCCTCACGGGACATAAAAAGTTTGCGCTTAGTCGTTGAGAGATAATTAGATATAAATAACGCAAATTAAAGTAGCGACGTGAAAAACATTACTATAATATTAATATTATTCATCTGATTTTTTTCACAAAAAGAAACAAAGGGTGTAAAAATTTATTTTCTCCAACACTTTCGTTACATCAATCATGAAATGCTTTTTGTGTGAGACCGATTTACCTTACAGACATCTTAAAAGGAAATGGTTGAAAATGAAAAATTACTTCCCTTTACGAGGGTTGCTTTTGAATCAATATAAAAAATTATTATTCAATTGTGCCAGTCATTTAAGTTGGTGCGATACAATTTCTAATTTTAACAGTCACCACCATCAGATATTATAGAGTCACGTTATAAAGAATTTGTTATCCGGATATGAATATGTTACGTGCATATGCCGGACGCAAGCGAAAGTGATAAATGGCAAAAGTGACCTGAGCGAACGAGCGTAAATCAATGAGTCGCGTCGGCTTACCAGCAACCCGCAAACTTTTCGGCTTGACTACGGCCCCGGCTCGCGGAACGTAAACTAGCGGCCTTTGTGCCGCAGTAAAATATCTAGCCGTATCCGGATCGTTCATCGTTCGGGGCTTTTGAGCCGCCGCTGCCGCCCGGGCGGCGCGCCACGTCTCCAGCAAACAAGACAGATCTCGAGGATCACAAAAGGACGCGTTTGACCTACGGCAAACCTACGGGGGCTAACGCGCGCGTCGCTCGCGCGGCTCCAATCGATCTGGGTCGCGCGGAATATTCAATGGCTCCACAAGAATCACGGGTCCTAGTTATGTGCATGCGCGTGTACATATACAGTCGAGCAGTCGACCTCGCTCGGCGACGAAATAGCATTGGGATTTTACGGCCTCAGGAAGGAGCCTCCGTCAGGCCTTCTCGCTTCCTGCCGGAGTCGCCTTATCGATGTGGCGAGTCACAATCCGTCGCTGAAAGTCCGGACGCGTGCTATAGACTTCTCGCGGGGAGGAGCTGTTAATGCGCTCGCCGTGCCGTTTAAGGACAAATGTATCGATTAGAATGACAACGAGCGTTCAAGAATGCCTGTCTACCGAACGATAATGGATGGGCGAGCCTCGATTAACGATAATTCCTTGCGGAATTAACCATTAATCAACATTAGTCGGGCAAAAAGGATTGCAGGAGCATCAAGTATAGATTTCGCGGCTTTGTATTAGCAAAAACGCAATTAAATACAATACGTAATAAAATTGGGAAAAGCAAGTATACTCAAATTTCGACAAAAAAAATTTATTCTCAATCAATTAAAAATAAATTTCAAGTTTTAACGCTTATAAATTAATAGAATATAATTTTTTTTCTCTCGTCAAACAATTTCTTGTTCGACGATTTACGGAAAAATTGTCGCAGTTTAATTTCCTGTTCAATCCCCATCGCACGTGCGAGTGTTTTTTTTATTTTATTTTCGAAGCGAAAAACTCTTCTGCGGGAGAAATCAAATGGGACGAATTCGCGCGGCTGAAAACGAGCGAATGGTGCCTCGGTATCAAATTGCCTATATTAACAGTGCATAGCGCGCGGCGTGCACAGTTCCATAACGCGCGAAACATTATATTCGACCGCGACTCGGCAGCGTCGGCGGCAGCGGTGGCGTTTGTCGTTCCAATTGGTTGAAATTGCCCGGCGCTTCCGTTCGGAATCTTGGCTAATTACCGGCAGCGCGGAGGACATCGGATCCTCTACGATTCCACTAAAACGCGAGGCTCTCTCGTTGGCACTGAAACTTTAATTCCCCCCCCCCTCTCTTGTTAATGGCAGCGATATCTTCCGCGGCTAGAACGAGCGGTAACCAGCGGTCGTTCTTTGCGCGACGTGTAGCGCTAATATCCCAGCTGCTGAATTATACAAACGAGCGTCAATGGTGCTCCATTTTCCAATCGTTATCGTATAGATCAGGTATCCATATATAATAAAAAGTCATATAAGCTCTCGTGTATGACGCGTATGTTTTATTCGTACGTGATACACAGCGAGGGACATGTGCCCTCGAATTAATAGATATATTATTTAAACGCGTGCAAAGACACTGCAAACATCATTAAACCTCTTTCTCATAACATAGAGAAAAATATGATAATAATTTCAATAATTTGACATATTAATATCATATTGTGTACTTTTGTTGACTTTATTTTATATGTATACACGGAAAGAACGATTTTGTTGAAAGACCTAAAAATTTTGTTAAAAACAGAAAATAATTTTTTATTGAATCACCAAAATAATTTGTTGGAATGTTAAAACTGATAAGTATTGCTATAAAACGCTTTGATATTCTGGCAATCATTTTGACTTTCGCACAAAATAATTTTGATTATTGAACAAAAATTATTTTCAGATCTGGATTCAGCAAAATTGTTCTTTCCGTGTATCTACTTATATGTGTAAAATCTTTTTTTTTTTCAAACATTATGAAAAAAATATAAGCTTTTTTATTTAATATACTAAAGAAAGATCAAGTAAATTCTACCAAATAACATTCGCAAAGATTATAAGGAATTTATAAGGATATACACGGGAATTTGGAGTGGCATCACGCTTTTGCGAGGGCGCGCGTCTACGTGAATGTGCTCTTTGATCTATAGGCCAAAATATAAATGATAGCCGAAATACCCGCTAACACATGCCACATAATCGGCTGTAATGTCGCCCGGTCAGCAGTTCATTATCCGAACATCCCGGACATGTGCACGTCTCTATAGGAGATATCACGTTAATGGAGATCCATCCTGCAATTAACAGGGATCCTTGACACGACATCGATGCGAGTTTCGATACGACGGTTGACTTTCTCTGTTATACCTAGTATATAAATTGCTTGAGCAAAATCTAGACAAAAAGTAACGCGATGACCAAAAAATTCGTTCTAACTTAGGGATAGTGAGAAACTACGGAGAAGATACTGATTGTGAGAGGCTAAGCAATAGCGAGATATAAACGATGGCCAAAATTGCCGAACACATCCGAATTATTCAAACAATTCTGAAAGTATAAGCAGACAGAGACCAGTGTCTTCCGTACAGTGTCTCGACTGGAGCTTCAGCTCGAAGCGAAACTTTATTGGGAGCTTAGTGTATCCCGAGACACTCGGCTGCGGAATATTAAAAATTTACGACGCGCAATGCCGACAATATCATTTCCTTCGTTTTAATATGCAGCCACTAAATCGCTGTCCTTCGCTTTTACATATATACGTTGCATGAATTCGCAATTCGTGGCAGTTCAATTCGCCTCGCCTCATGGAACGTGGCATTCATGACGACACCATGTGTATGACGGTATCTCGCGAAGTCGCGTTGTAAAATAAATTAAATGAAAATACTGTTACGCGTGCAGTCTGGGGACGAAAAAAGAGGAGGAGACTCTTGTCCTTTCACAGACCGCGGAAAATGTAATATGCAATTGTTTCTGTCGTAAAAGCTTCCCTGATTGTGTTCGCGGATTGCACGTATTTGTCTCCGGTCTCTATGTCGGTCGGAAGTGCCGCGGCGAGCACGACTTGACGGGGGACTCTCGGTCACGAGAATACGCTCTCTTTCCTCTCGGAGGGTGGGGCTCCTATAAATGTGAGACATCATAAAAGCGAGCATAAACCACGCTACTTAACTCCAGACGGAACGTTAGATATACTGCCCAGTTTTTTTTCTCCTCGTTTCGTGTTAAATTGTATAAAAAACCGCGTCTCTCTGGTGAAAACGACTTTCTTCGTGCTTGATTTACCATCGATATAATGTTAAGATATGCAAACCGAGCTCTCGAGTCGAGGATGATTTATCGTGCACGGCCACGGTATCGAATATTCGGCTGTTCCACATTTAACGTTTCCTGCTTTCGGATTCGTGAGAGAACATGTTATACCTTATGAAACGCGGTTTCCCGAAACTGTAAAATTTCCCTTGCAATTTAAGTTTCTGTTTTTACATTATTTCTATATATCAATGACGTATTTCGCCGCGTATTTATTCAAATCACACTTCTCTATAAAGTATACTAGAAGGAGAAAATGCACTTAAGCGATAATTGCTGTAGATGTTTAAAGTTGCCGGCAGACAAATTGTCCGTCTTCGGCACTTCAAAGTTAAATACCAGATTTGAACAAAGGGTCGAGAAAGTATAATTTAAAGCTCAAACTATATTTCTTTCGCATTTCTAAGTGAAATGCATTTGTATCGTTGCAGCATCGTGAAAGAAGAAAGATAACGTTTTCGATGCCTGAATAGTCAAAAGTAACAAAATAAAAAGTAAAACAATACAACTTACATACAAGTAAATTAAAACAACTCGTAATTCATAGGATGCGATATTTTGCGCGCATTGGCTTCGCTCTGACGTAAAAGAAAAAAAAAGTTTTACACGTGTCTGCGAAGTGATGTATTTAAAGGAACGACGACGTATTTTTATCTGAACAATCATCGTATTGTTACGGTATATTATCGAACGATACGCCTAATCGCCCATCGCTGCACAATCATCCATTCTAGTCTATCGTTTCCATTAAAGCGAGCTATTCGAGAGTAATTAACGATTAAAGCCGCATTCCGAACGATTAGCGGCGTCACGTTTCAACGAGAAAAAGTCACTATGAGATATAAAACGATTATATATAAATTCCATATGAGTAGCCATAAATATTAGAAAAACCGGGTTAAAAAAGAAATATCAAATATTCATAAGTACACTAGTTGTGGTGAATACTGTTCTCGATTTGGTTTACTTAA